ACGATTAGACAGCTGATAACTCATTCCCGTACGTCGTAACTCTATAATGACCTTTGCTTATTGTCACGTGTGCGCCGCATTCGCGATTGTTGCCGACGCCTGTTTACAGGTCAGCCCACTACAGTTGTTATACATATCGAAAAACCGATAAACTTTTAGGCGAAAAAGGCACTATTCCAGGCCCATTTTTGATTTTCTTTGCGATATTAGGTAAAAACAGAAGCTTCTTATCCTAGGAAAAATAAAATGGGAAATCTTTCAAAGGTGGCACACTACCTTTAAGCAAAACAAAGGTTAACACTGACCTGTATACCTGTATACCGCTGTATACCTCGGTATACAGCGGTCAATGCTCGGACACATACAGGTGTTCGTGCCCAGAGCGTATTTCCTAGCTGAGGTGCCCCCGAATTATTGAGCGGGCCGCACAGAAAGCACGCGGAGCCCTGCGGCAGTGGTTCACCAACCTCGAACGGCGCGATGGTCATAGAGTTATGTCGAAGTGAAGTGGGTAATGCAGCAGCCACATCGAGCCTAGGACATAGCTTCAACTTCTAGCCCACCTCTTGGCGTCGCTGCCGGACAAAAGGGAATGGATTCTACAAACAAATGGAATATTTAGGTTTGGGAGTCTGTGTAAGAATGGTTTAGTGCAAAGCTAATGTTAATGACACATCTACCTCTTATTCATATCGTAGAAAGGTTAAAAAAGGGTTACAATTCAGATGAGTAATTTTTAAATAAGGTTATGCAGAGGACTCATCTTGAAGTACTTTTAACGATGATTGGCAGCAAAGGTTTTTGCGATTAAATTTTGAACTTCAGTACGGGAAGCCTATTTCATGTGATTAGTGATAATATAAAAGGTACACAATGACAAAATGCACAACGCTATTGTGCATTGTTTTTCGTGAGTCCATGGAAAACGAAACTGTTTGAAATGTATTGTGGTCAGCTGTATAGGGTACGTCCGTCGTCCATTGAACACTTTCAGAAAAAGAGTAGAGAGAAAAATAGGTAAGGAGAGAGTGTTATACACCATGCATCCAAGACATGTTGTCCTCTTCCCTGTAGTAAATGCAGACAATATGACTTTCAGAAAAAATACAAATTTTTCGACACAAAGCATTGGTGATCCTTCATTTCTTCTTTCCGTATTATATTCGTTCCTGCCAGAGGCCTATTTCACCCGTTTACTATTACACGTAAGTATTCATTGCACAATGAAACCGCACACTCGACAACTTGTGCCTGGTTCACTCTGACACATGTTCGCTCCCGTTCTCCGCTCCTCTCCCCACCTCACCCCATGGGTCCCGCGCTCTCCGGGCTCCCCTATAGCCAATAACGTCTACCCCAGTGAGTCACCCGCGGCCCACATCTATCCGCTAACCACTGGGCAGCGGCGGCGGCCGGCGGCGTTCGGCATCGATCCCCGGGCAGAGCGGGAAAGAGCGATGGGGGACGGCGCTGTCCCGGTCACGTGGCGGGCCTCGGAGATGAAAAGGTGCTGAACTTGTGCCGGCGAATGGAGGAACTCTCTGCGGATGGTGTCCAAAGTAGTTGACGAAAAGCGGCAAAGTCGTGTGACAATTCAGGGGCTTGGGGATTATTTATTAGATTAGATATTATTTATTACGTTAATTATTTGGGATTTGGATATTATTTATTAGAAATTAATTAGAAATTGCTGATCACGACCCAACTAGGTCGAGTTTTCCGGGAACAAGTTTTCAAATGCAGCAAAGGCGAACATCATGTTTCATAGTTTTTTTTTTTTAAGTAGGAAGTACTTTGTGTTTGGATCTTGCAGAAAGGACACGCTGGTAGAAACGTTGCGTCGTATCATTTAGCGGGATCATCAGAGGTGAAAAAACCCTGCTACTCGCCTGCGTGCGTAGGTGACAGCCATAGGAATAAAGAGACAGATTCGAGCATCTCAGTTGTTGCATTTAAAATAGATAACTAGTCCGTTCCCGCTAAAATCAGAGCTGTCTTCCCATAGAGGGCCACTATGGACCACGGCACAAAAATTTAACAGCGTCATCTCTTTGTAGACAGCTGGGGCTGAAAATACCGCCGGTGCGACAGCCGGTGCGTTGTGAAGCGCCATAGACGGTTCCATGACAACTGAACCAGTGACAACTGAACCAGGACAACTGAACCAGTGACAACTGAACCAGGGACAACTGAACCAGTGACAGCTGAACCAGGGACAACTGAACAAGTGACAACTGAACCAGGGACAACTGAACCAGGGACAACTGAACCAGTGACAACTGAACTAGTGACAACTGAACCAGTGACAACTGAACCAGTGACAAATGAACCAGTAGACAACTGAACCAGTAGACAACTGAACCAGTGGACAACTGAACCAGCGGACAACTGAACCAGCGGACAACTGAACCAGTGACAACTGAACCAGTGACAACTGAACCAGTGACAACTGAACCAGTGACAACTGAACCAGTGATAACTGAACCAGTGGACAACTGAACCAGTGGACAACTGAACCAGTGGACAACTGAACCAGTGACAACTGAACCACTAACCAGTAGCCCAGCAAGCAATTTTACTCCGGGCCCAAGCAAGCTGAAGTGCGGCTTGCCCGAGATTTTTAGTCGAGCTAAAGTCGGCTAGCGCTTGGACTAAAGTCGGCTAGCGCTTGTGCTAAAGACTAAAGTCGGCGTATGACACAAAAACGCCGACTAAAACCCATGCTCTGCCGGAGGTATGCCCTCTGGGCCTCTCGGCGAGCTCAGGACAGCCGTTGTTTAGCCCTAGTTGTGCGACGTTTGGCGTAAGCCCGATGGATGTAAGCCCGAGCAGTGAATCCATTTATATACCGGAGATTCCTCTGGGCCCAGGCGGGCTGAACTCTGCCAAGCCCACGTTGCGTGCCCTGTCTGTCCCGAGTTAGGCCATCAAAGTGAATATCATTTATACGTTGCTAACTATTCGGGCGTCCCAGGTGGGCGTAACGGTTGCCACACCAGTTCGCGACCACCAGGCTAGCTGTCAGCCCTGTCAGCCGTCGTACGGCTCTGGGACGGACACTCTAATAGATCGGACACAGATCAATTGGCAGACCGGCAGATTGGCACAGACCGTCCGTCCAGCCACCCGCTACCTTATACCTATACAGCGCAGTACGACATTAGTTGTCCACTGGTTCAGTTGTCCACTGGTTCAGTTGTCCGCTGGCTCAGTTGTCTGCTGGCTCAGTTGTCCTGTCCACTGGTTTGGTCGTCCACTGGTTCAGTTGCCATACTGGTTCAGTTGTCCACTGGACACTGGTTCAGTTGTCACTGGTTCAGTTGTCACTGGTTCAGTTGTCACTGGTTCAGTTGTCACTGGTTCAGTTGTCATACTGGTTCAGTTGTCACTGGTTCAGTTGTCACTGACTCAGTTGTCACTGGTTCAGTTGTCTACTGGTTCAGTTGTCCACTGGTTCAGTTGTCCACTGGTTCAGTTGTCCACTGGTTCAGTTGTCACTGGTTCAGTTGTCCCTGGTTCAGTTGTCACTGGTTCAGTTGTCGCTGGTTCAGTTGTCGCTGGTTCAGTTGTCGCTGGTTCAGTTGTCGCTGGTTCAGTTGTCACTGGCTCAGTTGTCACTGGTTCAGTTGTCCCTGGTTCAGTTTTACTGGTTCAGTTGTCCCTGGTTCAGTTGTCACTGGTTCAGTTGTCTGCCTACCCCATAGACAACGCAGGAAAAACGGCGACAGCGCGACAGCTCGTCCCCGCTCGTCGCCGGTTGAACGGTGGCGGGGACCGGCGCGGCCTTGGCCGCCGCCGGAGTAGGGAAGGACCGGGCGACTGGGACGGGGGACGTCACATCTGGGCCACAACTGGGGTGAGATCCATGACCATCGGTCCCAGAAACTTGGTTGGAGCGTTGATAATTGGTTCCGACTAGTGAAGCAAAGGCAAGTGAATCAGTGACAACTGACAATTCTTTCGTGAGTTCTGATTGAACTGGATCAGGAAGCCAGGACGAGCTAGGACGTCGGTCAGACCTAGGTTTAGGTAAGTTGGATGGTAGTGATTTATTTTTGTTGTACTGTGTCACTGAAATGTGGTGATGCGTTGTGATGCCCAGAGTCCGAAATTTTAAAGGTCAGTTTCTTTTCATTCTAGCCTCATTTTCATTTCTAGGCCTAAAAGGGTGATGAGAAAACGTCAAAAAGTACCTTCTGTTTCAAGATTACTGTTGGTGACAGCTAGACATCGCGTAGGTGACAGCTTTTGCGTTTTATTCACCTCTGGGGATCATTTTTCGTTCCCATTTCATATGACTGGCGGCTGAGATCGTAATCTGATGTACGTAACTTATAAAACAGTTTTCGTCGCATGTTTGTGGTTAAATACTTGGCAATCACGGAAGAATACATGAGTTGTCGATTAAATCCACAATTGATAATGGATTTCCTTGCGAGTTTTGGAAATACTACTGTTTGTGGATCCTAAATGATTGCGAAATGGAGAATATTTCACCTGACACTCGCCCAGATAATCTTCTAGGATCTTTTTGTGAAGTGGGTGGACCTCACGGACGGCAAGCTCTAAATCAACAGCAACCTTAATTATTCAACAACCAATCAGTGCATTTTTCTAACCCTCAGGACATTCAATTACGGTGCGGTTAAGTAGGAAAACTTTACAGATTGTTTTTCAGCACGGGCGATCTATCACCGGACACTATTTTCCGCTGATATGGGCCTCTCCCCACCTCTTACTCTTGTGCAACACGGTACCTTTTCATCTCCGCACTTATGAATCGAATATGTCATTAACCCGACCTATGTAAGGTTTTAAGGCTAGCCAAATGCTGCTTCAACATAAGACATGTCCAGATGATTTATTAGAGGAAAGATAACACTCTAATGATAACCTGAGCATTAGGACTATTAGGATCACTCTGTTATTACCTTCTCTCGAACAGAGCAGTATGCACAATAAGTACAATACACTAGGTAATTACCCCTCGCCGTTCCCAGGTGCGCTCTGGCCGCGATGCGGGCGCTCGGCTGGGCGCTGCTCGCCCTCCTGCTGGCCGTCGGCAGGTCGGCGGCGCAAGGTGAGCAGCCGATCGTCGACGACGACGATGCATGCGACGACGAGCCTAGCGAGCCGCCTTGCTCTCACTGCACACCGGCGCGCGGTAAGGGGCCTGCATGCGCGGCCAGGGGCGCAGCCAGGCACCGCGCCGCCGGGGGTCGGACGCTGCCCCGGCGCGGTGGAGAGAGGTCGGTTTGTGGAAAATGAGGATCGTAATGGATCAGTATTTTCGGTGGGAGAAGTTAAGATGAAGACGTTTTTGAGGCCGCATTGCTAAAAAAATATTTGCCTTTCGGAACATTGCACATCAATTCTCTATCCTATTAATTATGCTTCTCAAAGGGTTCTCAACATTTTGTACTCAAACCAATCTTTAATCCTCTTTTAACTTTATGTGCACCTAATGGCAGCCTTGTCGGCTGCTCCTCGCAAAGCGACATATACAAATTTCTGGTTTAAATCCGCTATTAAAATGCCCTCCGAAAAACTAAGATCCATCACTATCCGTGCAGAGTAAAACACTGTCTTTACACTGGTTTTGGTGGCAGTAATTGCCTGGCTGCGCCCCTGTGGTAGTTAAGCCAAAACATGACAAAAAGTCACACACATCTTTTTCATAGAGTGAAACGTGAATGACATGTATCTAGCTTGACATGTGTATTTTGAATAGACAATAACACTACACGTTGTTAGAGCCTAGAACACTGTATATGTGTAGCACTAAAACGGTTTGCTGATTAGGATGTACAATTACTTATTCAATTACAATACAAAGGCCAAACAATGTGATCTACGGCTTTAGATGTTCACCATGACCGACATAAATCCTGTTTGCAGGGAGTAGCATTTTTCTGCAGCACTGCTTACAATCAATTTTTATTATTGTTTTTCATGCTTGCAAAGGTAAATTTTTATGGAAGTAAAGCGAGCAAGGAAACATTCAAAACTGTAAGCATGCGCAGCAGTTTCGACATACCTTTACATAACCTCACCTATTATATAGTAACTGCCGGTTCCACTCAGGAGGGGGGTGGGGGACATATCAATGCATTTTTGGTTAGGACATTTTTGCACTACCTTCCCCGTGGTGTCTGAAGGCCACCTGTCTGAATCCGCCAGAGCATACGCGCAGCGTCATGCTTGCTTATTGCTTGCCGTAAGCTGCTAACGCTAATTCACCTCTTCCATAACTGCATAAAACACTCGGGATCTTATGCAGCTCAGTGCACATATTTGGCATTATAAGCACGTAGTAACCCCATCGTTTACGGGCTTCATTCTGCTTAAGACCACCAAGGCTCCAACCCATTTCGCGGACGGTGGGTTGCGTCACCAGTCGCCACAAATGCTGCTCTTTTAGATAGTGTCTGCCTCAGAAGGTCTTGGTCTGCCTAACAAAGGACTGTTGTAATGCAAGGGGCATCACCGATTGCGCTTTTGACACGAGATTAGACCGAGATGGAATGGCTTCCTCTTTGGGGAGAGAAGCTGCTGGCCAAACGAGCTCACTTTGTTGGGCAATGTTGACTTTTGGGCATAGGGAGACCGTTAAGCTATAGGCACAATTCAAACGCAATTTACTGTCATGAAGATTGTTTCGATAAATCAATGCATATTTGCGCTTCCTATTTTTCAAATATAAAAGACGCGAGGTTATCTAGAGGTCAATTTCGCACACCTTACGATTGAAGCATGCATTACGATGAAGCAATCTAAACTGCAATCATTAACTCTCTTGCAAGAAATACATGCTTACATGTAAATCATTACTAGACAGTTGCATTACACGTGCATATAGAAATGCATGAGACGTACCTACAATCAGGCAATAAAGTATTGTACATATTATTCACAGAATGCAGCGGTGACGCAACATTAGCAAGTTGACTCCTAATGGACTTGCATACATATCAACTGATCACGCTACAAATGAGATAATTGTGGGATGAACGAACCGCAGTTTGGTAGTAAATAGACGTTCTATTTTTACACTTAAAAAGGAAAAAGTAACGAAAGCAAAAAAAAAAAAAATGACATGACGACTAAAATTCACCGTTCAAACATTGTCTGTCCATTTCCAAAAAAAAAAAATCAATAATGGTCATAACTCACAGACAGACTGACATACTTATTACGTAATACCTCGTGTTACTATTCACGATTTTTAATAACGCCAACCCCCAAACTACGCTAACCGTTTTCCGCATCACCTCTACCAATGCTGGCCACTGTAAGTTTTTGGTGGTGGTGAGTGGGGTGTGTGCTGTTTGCTGTGTCTCGGGAACCCCCCTCTGCCGCCGCCCTGTGCGCGCCCCTGGTTTGACCTTTGACTCTCCCCGCGCTGACCTCTGCCGGACTTTCAGTCGACGCTGCGGCGGGAGCAGACTCGGACGGCCCAGGGCCGGAGGGTGACCCCGATCGACCTTTTGTGCCGCTATCAGGAGCAAGTAGGTGACGCCGTGGCACACTGCTCACTTTGTCCTCTATATAGTGTTGGTACACCCTTCGTATAGCTAGATAGACGCTCAGTCTTACCGATGTGATGGACGAATGTATAATGTATATAATTTTGGTCACTTGTGCTGAAACGATGATGGCCTTTTTGAGCAAGAGTCCGGCATTATGAAAGGACTAGCATTACCTAACTACATCAGGAGATGAGCCTTGAATCAGTCTGAGTGTTTTAGATTATCACATTCGTCCTCGTTACAATCTGATGACTGAGGTCTACAATGCTAATAATTTATTCTTGTAGCACATGCTATCTACCTTCAACTTTTGCTTTGTCCTTGCAAAAACCTTCTTGAATTCTATTGTAGGTGGGCATTGGTTGGCTGACCCTTATGTATTTACTACTTTTGGTACACTTAAATAGCCCTCAGCGATTACATTACGTAGTAGTTAGATGGTTATTCTATGATGGCCTGTCACTTACCATCTGCCATTATTATGAACTCACTTTTTAGATCGACTCTCCAGTCTCCAAGCGCATCTCCACATTTGCATTCTTTTCTTTTGCTTATACCTGCATAAACAGCACAAAATATCAATTATACGCCTTCAATCTCATGTGTTTAGCTAAATTTTGAGCATAGCTCAGATGAAAATTTTGTTTTTCCCTCTCGATATGCCTGTATATCATATGTAGTTTCAGCACATCCTATCAGTAAGACTTTAGTGGGCCCCACACTGGGAAATACTGTAGCGATTCATTGATGCAAAATGTCCTGCTCAAGCCAATGGCTATCGGCGGATTACCGGAGGTAGGAGCTGAACTGATCACCTTCTCTTCTAAGCATGTCATTTTCTCCGTTCCTTGCATGGGTGTTTGTATTGTAAATATGTGGCAAGTTTGTGTGTGAACACATGAAATACATGTAGATAAATGTTGCAAGCGTGAATGCGTGATAAGGTGTCCATCCAAACATAATGGATACTAAAGGAAACATTCGTTACAATTCTGCTTATAGGCAGCTCATGTTGTTTATGTTCGTTTTCGTTGCATTGATTGAAAGGAAACTGAAAAAAAGTTCCAAGCAATCGTGCGAATAGCATCAGAGGCTGCACCAACGTGATTGCTAAACCCTCCCCTTGGTATGCGGCCAATGAAACATTTCTTGTATCAGTAAAGTCGTTGAAGTTGATGTCAACGCGTAAGTTATTCCCGCTTGGGCAAGAAGCAGCCATACAATATTTGAAATATGTCGCCTGAACGATTTAAAAGTTCCATTAAGATGAGGAAAGTTATTTTTACTACGAATGTGTCGCACTATTGACACTTGAATAGTGTCTCATAAACCTTCCACTCAAATGAACTAACATGTACTAGAATATGGTCACATCACAACTACATCAGGAGAGGCCAAACAGCCAGAGAAATGACACTTCATAACGAAGTTCCTTACCTGCGACGTACTGTAATTGCACTGCAGTGATAGGTTGTACCTGTTAAAACTCGGCGTTCCCGTTCTAGACTGACTGTATTGGCGGCCGCAGACACGACACAGGCAAGGCCAGGGGTGGCCTGCGGCGATATGGCACCGGCCCGGTGCACCTGGGCGGTCGCCCGGCCGGTGCGGGTGCACCAGCATGGTGCACCCCAGCAGCACATACGGTCACTTTACTACATTCCTCCACCCCGGTTACAAACGCCATCCTTGATAGCAGGACAGTCACCGCAACAAACACAAACAAAACGATCCCCTTGCTCACGAACATCCGCGCGGTACAAATGTAGGAACTTAATTGTATCGCGCACATTAACATGTCAGTATCGATCAGGTGGTCGCAGGCTCGCACGGCTCCGGAGGTTATATCTAGGAGAGTCCGGCGGGTCGGGGACGGGAGCCGCCGCGCCAGCAGAATCGGCCGCCGGCCGCTCCACGGGCTCCGGGGCCGGAGGGGACCGGCGCCGCGGAGATGACGGCTCGGCTGCCGCCGGAACAGCAGGCACCGGGGCCACAGCCGGCACCGGGACGGGCGGCACGGGCACCGGAACACACGGCGGCATCACAGGCGCGGGGCGGCTGAAAGGGATTCCAGAGTTAGGAATTCCCGGCACCGGTTCAGCACCCAACCGCTCTCGGACCTGGTCGGCATGCCGCACAATAATGCGACCGTCACTTAACTCAATCGTGAACTTCACACCGCTACGGCTTAACACACGTCCAGGCACCCATCGATATGATTCCAGCCCACGTAGCCGATCAACAGCTGACACATACACCCTGTCCCCCTCTGACAGTTCACGATCGCGTGCTCGCCTATCACAGTACTCTTTTTGCGCACATTGCCTACCTTGCACAGTTTGCTCTATATCGGGAACCAGCGCGTCTAAATGAATGCGAGGCTGTCTTCCTAAGAACAGCTCTGCTGGTGTGCGCATTGTTGTGCTTTGGGGTGTTGTGCGGTAAGAAAACAAAAATCGGGCCACCTTCGTCTCGACAGACCCTACTTTTTGTTTCAAAATGCCCTTTTTAAAAGTTTGGACTGCCCGTTCCGCCAGACCGTTCGACTTTGGGGACAGACACGGTGTGGTGAGATGGCGAACACCATTCATCTTACAAAAATTTTCGAACCGTTGCGACACAAAACACTGGGCGTTGTCGGTGACCAAAACTTTTGGCATACCCCAGGTTGAAAATGACAGTCGTATTTTGTCAATGGTGACCTCAGAATCCGATAGCCTAGAAGGGTACACATCCATCCATTTTGAATGAGCGTCGATCAAGATCAAATACATCCGACCCTCTGCCTCACAATAATCCAAATGGACGCGCTCCCATGGCCGTGAGGGCCACTGCCACGGATGTAGGGGCTCCGGGGGAGCTTTGCTCCTCAGCTGTTGACATCGATCACAGCTTCTGACCTTCTCGCTAATATCGTCGTCTAACTTTGGCCACCAAACATACATGCGTGCTAGCATCTTAGTACGGCTCTCTCCCGGGTGTCCTTCATGCAACAGTTTTAACACGGCAGCTCTACCCTGCGGCGGGATGACCACACGTGACCCCCAGAGCACACAACCTTCCTGTATACTGAGCTCGCCAACACGGCACTTGTAAGGCTGAAAATCGGGACCTAGCTCCTGTTCTACTTCCCAGCCTCCGTCGCGCACACACCGGTACACGGCTGATAAGACCGGGTCTCGAGAGGTCCACAGTCGGATCTGCGCTACGGTCACAGGTGACGCATCCATAAACTCCAGCAAATGGACCATCTCGGCCGGCACGGGAACACGGGCTGGCGCCGCACCGGCCGGTGGCAGCCTGCTGAGAGCGTCACAATGTCCCTGCTTAGACCCGGGTCTATATTCGAGCCGGTAGTCGTATGCACCTAAAAGCAGTGCCCACCGGACCATGCGAGGCGATGTCATCGTCGACAACGGCTTCTGCTCACCAATGAGCCCCAGGAGGGGCTTGTGGTCTGTTTGGATTGTAAACGTGCGTCCGGCCAGAAAATAATGAAATTTTTTAACTCCCGTCACAACAGCCAGGGCCTCTCGATCTGTCTGAGAGTACCGGGTCTCAGTATCGCTCAGTGAACGGGAATAGAAAGCGATAGGTCGCTCTCCGTCGCGAGTCACCTGGCTCAGCACGCAACCGAGGGCCGCCGGTCCGGCGTCACACGCCAGCACCACCGGCAAGGCAGGGTCAAAGTGAGCCAGCACCGGCGGCTCCACCAGCATCACCTTGACAGCCCTGAAAGCGTCATTTTCTGCCGTGCCCCACTGCCACTTTTGGCCACGTCGCAGCAGCCGGTAAAGCGGCGCCAGGGTACTAGCCAGGCCTCGGAGGAATTTGGCGTAGTAGTTAACTAGCCCGAGCCAATGACGCAACTCACTGACATTGCTGGGCGCACGAGCAGCCTGGATCGCTGCAGTTTTCTCATCTGTGACCTCCACCCCGTTACGGCTAATCTTTAGCCCCAGGTAGGTCATGCTGTCAACCCCAAATTTACACTTTTTCACATTTACGCGCAGACCGGCCTCTGCCAAGCGTCCCAACACGGTCCGGAGGGCGGAATTATGACTCTCCTCGTCGGAGCCAGCCACAACCAAATCGTCCAAGAACACACCCACTCCCGGGATACCACCCAGCAGAGTCTCTATCGTGCGTTGAAATAGTGACACGGCCGACGCGTAGCCAAAACTCAGACGCCGTGGCCTCAGTAGCCCCCTGGGGGTATTTACTGTCAGATACTCTCGAGATCTCTCGTCTAACACAAGCTGGTTGTACGCGCTCTTTAGGTCCAACTTTGAAAACACAGTGCAGCCACACAGCTTTGAAAACAACTCCTCGACCCGCGGTAGGGGATATTGTTCTACTTTCGCTGCGCGATTTACTGTGAGCCGATAGTCCCCACAAATTCGGATCCCCCCTTCCGCTTTGGGGACCACCACCAGCGGAGCAGCCCACTTACTGTGACGTACCGGCTCCCACAGTCCAAGTTGAACCTGCTTCTCCAGCTCCTTGTCGACAGCTTCCCGGTAAGCCAGCGGGACCGTGCGCGGCTTAAAGAAGCGCGGCTGCACGTCCGGGTCGACATCGATGGTGACCTCACCGCCCCGGTAGCACCCCAGCTCGTCCCGGAACACCTCCGGGAACTCCTCCAGTATGGGCTGCACCGAACACGGCGGCGCCACGCGACACACTGAGGGCCAGTCAAGCCGGATGTGACTGAGCCAGTTACGGCCAAACAGGCATGGCCCGCTCCCCTTCACCACGATCAGTGGCAGGCGTGTCGTATTCCCGCCGTACTCCACGTTCACCATCGCCTGCCCCCGCACGGACAGCAACTCACCGCTGTAAGTCTTAAGCGACACACCGCACGGCTCCAGGGCTGGTCCTCCGTCGGGCCACAGGTGTCGAAACACCGCGTCGGAGCACACGGAGAGCGCGGCTCCCGTGTCCAGCTCCATATCCACCGCGCGGCCGTCCAGGCCCACTCTCACCATCAGCGGCGGCCGCCGCTCGCACACACCTGGCCGCACACTGAACAAGGCATATGCCTCATCGCACATCTCACTACTCTCGGGGGCCGGCACCTCCCGGTGCGGCCGTGGTAGTACGTCACTCGAGTCCTCCTCCGTCGGTGCCGCCGCAGCTGACGTCTCCCCATCGGCTGACAACTGGCGCAGATGCTGCTGGCTCCATCTCCCGCAAGCAGCTCTGATGTGGCCCCGCCTTCCGCAGGCAAAGCAGAACTTCCCGCGAAACGGGCATGATGCAGCAGAGTGGCGCTTCAGGCAGCGGCTGCACTCCTCCCGCGCTGGAAACCCCGATGCTGATGCAGCAGGCGGCGGCCGTGGCGGCCGGGCACCGCCGCCGGGGCCACCAGCGCGCCCTTGCAGCCGGTGCACCGCCGGCTCAGAAGAGACGCCACCCGAGGCCTGACCGCTGAGCTCCGCAGCGCTGGCAGCCGCCGACTCATGTGCCTGAGCAAGCTCCAGCGCTTTGTTGAGCGTCAACTTGCTCTCGCTGAGAAGACGTGACTGCAACCGTTCGTGGTTAATACCACACACGAGTCGGTCGCGCAGCATTTCCTCCAAAACGTTCGCTGCAAACTCGCATGGCTTGGCCAGCTTGCGTAGCCGGGCCAAAAATGTGCTCACACTCTCCTGATCGGACCGCTGACACGTGTGAAAACGATAACGGGCCACAATCACTGATGTTTGCGGCTCATAATGAGTTACCAGCGTTTTCACTAGATCTTCGTAAGTGCACTCACTCACATTTGCTGGTGCAATCAAGTCTTCAAGAAGACCGAAAGTTCTGGCTCCCACCACGCTCAGAAATACGGCACGCCTCTTGTCTTCCTGAGCTGCACCGGTGATACCGTTGGCTATAAAATATTGCTCTAGCCGTCTTGAATAGGCTCCGAAAGACTCCAAATTCGAGTCAAACTCGGGTGCCTTGCCCACACACGCCATGACCGCGCGTGGCTCGCACGTCCCTCGTCGCCAATGTTAAAACTCGGCGTTCCCGTTCTAGACTGACTGTATTGGCGGCCGCAGACACGACACAGGCAAGGCCAGGGGTGGCCTGCGGCGATATGGCACCGGCCCGGTGCACCTGGGCGGTCGCCCGGCCGGTGCGGGTGCACCAGCATGGTGCACCCCAGCAGCACATACGGTCACTTTACTACAGTACCCATATTTCTGAGGCGAGGTTGATTAATGTGCCCTGAGGGTATTAAATTGGGCCGCTCTTCTAACCAGATGCTGTCCATTACAATGTGTAAAGCTTAGAACATAAAATTAATAAACGGCTATCAAAGCGTGTGCGTCATTTGGGTGGCTTGTTAGCCTGTACTTTAAATTGCTAATGTATAATTTCTTTTGCTCATTCATTCTGCTTATAATTGCGCTTTATTAGCAAAATTTATATCAGAGTATGCGCTGCCTTCTGTAAGTAAATGCTTTTTTGGCATCCGCTTGGTCTGTGTTGCCAGAGGGTATCGCGTGTTGTGGATAAACGTCTTGAATTTCATTTTGAAAATACGACTTGCAAGTTTGAGTTTCATCCATAAATGCGGATTTTAGTGTTCAGTTAATCCTCGCTGACACTAGCTATTGAACCATCATGGACGGCGCAAAGGGGTAATATGACCCTCCCCTTCCCCCAAAACAAGCATTTAACAGTCAAACTGTAAACTCAAATTTCAGTTTTTTTTTTAAACCTATGTGTGCCCCATCGAAGACTTTTCAATACAAGTCGGAGTACCGGGACCAATAATAACTTTTACCCACTACCCAGTGAAAGTCCGTTAAAACAATTTCAAATAAGTAAAAATGTCAGTCAGCCTAACTTATATTTTTGATATCAGTGCATTTTGTCAAGTGGCTGGTGAAAGTTTGGGAGAATCCAAGGTCTAAAAATAACTACAGCAGGCGATTTTTCTGTTGGTAACACTGGCCTCAGAACCATCATTTTGTTAATGCTTGAACTGATTTTAGCAAGCACCACTCAATCATACAAAATTTATGTGCTGAAATTTCAGAACTGCCCTCTTAGCATCGACAGCTCCACTTTGGACTCGTCAACGGGGCGTTGTGTGCCAGCCGTCTGTATGTCTGTGTGTCCCCAGAGTGTGACAGGGTGTATGTGAGCCGCGAGGACCAGGACGAGCCGGCGCCGTTCGAGGCGCCCACTCTGCACAACCCCCTGGGTCACTCGCGCCAGTGCCTGCTCAAATTCATCGCACAGCCTCACCAGAGAGTGAAAATATCGTTTCGTCTGATGCGACTTCGAGGCACCTATCCAGAGTAAGGAGTGCATGATAGTAACCTTACCCTATGTAGTTGCATAGGGTAATGAGGAATAGGGATAGGGGAATGTATGACACAGTTGAGCTGTATTCCTTAGTTCAGCTGAATTATAAATAGGTACTTAAGTGTGGAAGTTATTAGTAAAAATAATTCAAACTTGTCAACACTCTTTTAATTGTGTTAAATAATAGGCATTAATAATACGCACCGTTTTCTGCATGCCTCATACTGCTCTGGGTAGAAAATTACGCTGAAACCATGGACAATTTTATGCATTATACATACAATATCTGTGAACGTATCTTGATGTATGCACAATTCAGACTCGATTCTCCAAGGCACATTCACACGGGCGTTATGTCTCTTTAGCATTGGGAAGTTACACGAGATGTAAATTATCTTCACTCACATTCCATTTCACGTTCCCTGTTCGGCCCTTACCGGCCTACATTATAGGCGCCTGTTCAACACTCGCCGGCACCGTCTTCCCCTTCTTTATGCAGCTGCCAGCACGAGTACCTGGACGTGTTCTCCGAGCTGCGTCGGCCCGACGAGGACCTGCTGGAGACGCCGTTCGGCGGCAGGTTCTGTGGCATGATCGCCCCCCGCGCCCGGATCAGCCTCTACAACAGCCTGGTGCTCGGCTTCTACACTGACCAGGCAGAGACAGACGGCGAGCTCTTCTACGGCACCTACCAGTTCATCAACGCCTGTGAGTTGGGCGTACCAGTTCATCAACGCCTGTGAGTTGGGCGTACCAGTTCATCAACGCCTGTGAGTTGTGAGTGGGGCGTACCAGTTCATCAACGTCGTGAACGACAAACGTCGTGAAAAAATACATCGTGAACCCTGCTGATAAAACTAACCAATATTTATGTTCATAGGCGTAGGAACAGGGGGGGGGGGCAATGGTCCCCACTTTTCAGCCATTTTTTTAAGTACAATGTTTATTTTTTAAATGCTAAGAGCAGGAACTGGTTCAGCAGGGTGAGATGAGCACAAAACTGCAAAGAATTTCTTCATAGGGGTACCTATTGGGGCTCCCACAAAGTGACGTTTAACCCGCGCCCCACTGGGGTCTGTGTATAACACGCCCTACTGGGGGGGCTATTCATAGCCCCCCCTCCTAACTCCGAAACTACTGGGCCGATCGTCAAAATTCAAACGGCGTCTGATAGCCCCGGAAAAACTGTCGAGCGAAACCTAATTTCATTGACCTCGAGGTCACCGATGACGTCACAGGTCAGGTCAAAGTAAAAATTATTAGCACTTTGGCTTGTTCACATTTTGGGCTCTGGCCGCCGTCTTACAAGTCAGATCAGGCTCATTTTTGGTTTCCACACTCGTGAACAGATGCTCTAGATACCTTGAGGGTACCAAACTTGTACTTTGATTTTCAGGTCAGGGTCAGGTCATCACAGGTCACGAAAATATTATATCATGTGTCGGTCACGTGACACATTTTTCATGGTCCATTTAGGCCATAGATTTCGAATTTGATGTCGTCTGTGTCATTCGAGGTCATTTTGAGTCGAATTTAGCTTAGGTCAGGTCACTTTCAGGTCAAAAAAGGTCAAATTTTGAAGTTATAATTTTTCAACAAAAAAGGTGTCTATTGGATGCAGTTTGAGCTCAGGAACACGATGGTGCCATTTATATTGGTGTACGATGTCAAATACGTACTGAAAAAGTGATTTGAAAAATTAATAATTGTGAATTTTTTGCAATAATGCGTATAACTTGGCCATTTTTGAAGATATTTAGCTAAAACTTGTTAGAGTTAGTCATAATCATGTGTTCTGTCACATATATTCCGGTTTTTTCGAAAAGTCAAAAACTTTTTGAAAAAAATATAAAAATATAAATTTTGAATATTATGATATAAAATTTTCGAAATTAAAATCCGAGACAGCAGTTTGATAGCGCGGTCAATTTTGAGTCCTTTCATGCAAAGAAATTGGATCTAGCTTAAAAACTGAGCTCTTGGGAGCGATTGCCGTGGTTCAATGTTTTGCGTCGAAATCGGACGAACATGACGTCACTCTGACGTCATTTCCGGCCGACCTATGGTAGCTACGAAGTTCAAATTTTGACACAAGGTGTCAAATTGATGCAGCCGAAGGTACTGAAAGTTTGGCGTCGATACGTCAAGCGGTTTGGAAGTTATTGCAGAAAAACGGGAGGGGGGCTATAAATAGCCCCCCCCCCCCCAGTGGGGCGCGGGTTAAGTTTCACTGCCCCACCCCCACACTTTTCGTGAGGTTCCTACTCCCATGTTTACGTTCAAATGCCAAGGCCACAGCAAGGCTCCTTGACCGTCGCGCCCTAGCCGTGGAGCTGCACTTGGTGTCCGGACAACATCAAAAACATTATGTCCAGTCCCGGGCTTTATTCGCATAGATCAGGCGACGGGTCACTGAACCCACTTATCACTTTCATGCAAATAATGTCAGACTTTATGTCGGAATTTATGTTTACGACCTGTATGACTGACTTCTATGAATGGCGACACTGCATCATCCGTGCTTGAGCGATGGTGTTTCACTTTGCACATAGTTGTTATGTAATAAATAACGCCTTTAAATTGATACTTGCTTACAAAGTAGTCGCCTTTCAGCTCCAGGGCAGCACTAATTTGCTTACTTTGTTTCATTTGTTTCAAGAAGCATTTGCTGGACGTTTGCTTTTTCGCTCACAATATGCAACACCGTTGCATTTCCAACAAAAAAGGCAGTAAATCGAAATTGATTTCCAAGTTATTTTATAGACCATTTAACCCTGTCCATTCACGATCGACAACATCTGGCTCAAGACAGCTAGGCAAGAGTTTTTTTTTTTAACATATATTTCAGCAACATTTGCATTGAACTAGGAAAACGTTTGCATGAAAACATATGTTATAAATATGTCCTTAACCTTCCAGGCGGTGGGGGGGGGGCATTTTTTGCCCCCCCTTTAGTTTTTTTCGATATATCTGGAGAACCGCTGCGCCGATCGTCACCAAACTTTCAGTACCCTCCCGGGAGTAGCTAGCGCACATGGTGACCAAACATTTTTCCAAAGGCTATGATACGTTGGCCGCTAGTGACGTCAGAGTGACGTCATTTTTGCCATTTTCGGCCCAAAAAAAGGTTTCGCGGGAAGAGCTGTCAGGCCTTTAGCTTTAGAGATACAGAAAAATGTTTCAGACATAAGAGGTGTAGAATGAAGAGGGCTACAAACCTGATATTTCGGTTTTTCGATTTTTTTGGATTTTGACCCCCAAAAATTAAAAATAGATTTTTTGAATATAATAGCCGAAAAATCCAAAAAGTTTTTTGAATTTCGAAAAAAAAAACGGAATACATGTGCTAATTCCTACCACCTTCTATCTACATACCAAATTTGAGATCAATACCTCTTTTTTTGGCCAAGTTATAGCGAAAAAACTGTTCAAAATTGATGACGCCAAATTTTCAAACTCAATTTGTAGCAATTCTAGACCTCGTAGCGCAAAACAAAGACCACCATTAGACTCCCCGTGACGAGCTGCATCGAATCGATACCCATTTTATCCAAAAATATCAACTTTGAAATTTGACCTTTTTTGACCTGACCTTGACCTGACCTCCACCAGAAAGTGACCTAAACCGTACCTGATGGTCTTATAACCAACACTATTGAGTTGGAAATGAAAAACTGGCCATAAAACAGGCATCGCACAACCATAGTAAAGTTGGGTTCATGTGGTGACCCTTGGTGACCTTTGGTGACCTGAACTGTGACATGACCTGGTATGACCATTGACCTCTAATAGCAACATATGTACTAGACAACTGACGCCCTGTCGCTGATTTTCGACAAAATGCGTTTTACTCGGTGTTATAGCGCTTTCCCTTGAAGCCCCGTAAACGGTGAAACATTTTATCTTTGACCTGACCTGTGACGTCATCGGTGACCCCCAGGTCAATGAAATTTGGTTTCCTTCGACAAATTTGACAGGGCTATCAAACGCCGTTTGAATTTTCCGGATCCGTCCAGTAGTTTCGGAGATACGGGGGGGGGCAAAAAAATGCCCCCCCCCCCCCACCGCGCGGAAGATGGCCGGGAGGCCCACCGCCTGCCGGGTTAACCCATTCTTTATAAAGTACTAAGCCACACAGATCCGGCAAGTTTCTCAGCCCCGAACACCTATAATCCGAACCATGCACTGACGGATTGGATGGTAGGTAATACCATCTCGCCGTGAAGAACGGGGCAGTACTTCTTCAGCGCGAGACATTAGACAGCCTGCCTCAGCCTGTTGACCTTATCTAGGTTAGAGGAGATTCAGAGGCTTAGGGGAGGACTTCCAACGCCATCCACACTCCACCACTGTAATGATGCTCTGCTTCATAAGGAAGGTAGAGCGAGGAGGAGCGGTAGAGCAGCCATGGTGACAGTGAGAGCATTGCAAGCAGGCTAGTGAGATACAATAATACGACAACGGCGAAGTGAGTTCAATCCATTGCTCTCACTCTCACTGTCACTCTCACTCTCGTCTCTATTTGTCTCTCCCCTTCTCTCTGTCTTTTTATTCCTCTTTCTCCATCTCTCTTTCTGCTCTATCCATCCCTCCATCTTGCTCTCGTCTCTCTGTTGTCTCTCTCCTTCTCTTTGTCTTTTGTTGCTCTTTCTCCATCTCTCCATTTCTCTATCTTGCTCTCGTCCCCGTGATCTTTCTCCTTCTCTCTCTCTTTTCTCTCCTTTTTCTCTCTCTCTCTAACTCTATCTCTCTTTCTTTCTCCCCCTCTCTCTGTCTCTGTCCCTTTCATTCTCCAATGCCTGATAGTCTGCCTGTAACTTGCAGCATACTTGGTGTAGCTCCTCATAGACATCTAATTGATTTTCTCATGGACGTTTCAGCAAAATATGAGCTCGGCACACCCATCCCGGGCAGTCCATGCAGCTTCGAGATAAACCACAGCAATCAGAAGCGGAAGGGGCTTCTGGTGTCGCCCACCTACCCAGGAGTGTACCCAAAGGGTAAGACTGAAATGACTTGCATGATAAATGTAGGTAACGTCGATTTGTATTAAACTGAACGATATAAGCAATTGTGCAGATGTTCCACCGTTGTTGATCGTATCAAAGAAGTACATGGAGAAGCTTTAGCATTGTATGCAGGGCGAATCCAAAGAGTGAAATGAAAATTCGCAGGGCGGAATGTTTTTATTCAACGAGGCCAGGGTAACAGGAACGTTCTCATATCTTTTCAGGTCTGAACTGCGAGTACCGCTTTGTGGGAAAACCCGGCCAGCGGATACGACTCGAGTTCAGAGACTTTGACCTCTTCATGGGCGGCCATCAGTGAGTAGAGACTCTGGGGGTGCATCAACTAGCGGAGTCTAGCTGGGCTGGGTTAACTGATTTCAGGGCGGGTCGATGACATTGTTCGTATACGGTGGCAGTATGTGGCTGAAATGGGAGTAGTTACTGAGAGGACACCCATCACCGGGTTTTTTTTTTTTTTGGTGAAGGTTGTGGTATAGCCGCCTTATATGTCTGTCTGCGCTCTCAGTACCTCATTACCTCCGACTAATCAGTGCTCCTCTACACCTATAGGCATCGCTCCTCGACCACTAACCGCCCCTCCCTCGTAACTTGTTCCAGCTGCCCGTTCGACTTTGTGCGCATCTACGACGGAGCCAACCAGTCTGCCCCACTGATCGGCACTTTCTGCCGACCTGAGCGGAACCTGGTCAAATACTCCACCGGCCATCAGCTGCTGATGACCTTTGTCACCATCCAGAGGACGCCCAACCCGGAGAAACGCGGCTTCAGTGGCATCTACGAGTTCAGCGAGAGCTTCGTCAACCTCGGTCAGTTATCCGGAAAGACAATGGAGCTGGGGACTGTTTGCTGGTGTGCTGGAAAAGCGTAAAGTACACTGGCAATCATGTATATCAAGAGAAAAGCAAGAGCAATTACTATTGTAAACGAAGGCTTTTTAGGATATCCAGGAGCTTACGGAGATGCTGTTTCGTTTGCTAGTGATACCGTGGTATATTTAGCGTCCAACTGCATCGAGGAGGCAAAAGGAATATTGTCCGAGAATACCAATACCAAAAAGGTTATTGTGCAAAAATGCCGGTTTATGCAGTATCAGCCGTTCTGTGTTGCCTGTAAGTTGAGATTTTCAGAATGTCCTCTGGCTGTTAAGTTTACAACTTGATTCGCTGTAATTGTTGTTTCAGATTTTATCACTGGCCAGCACATACGCGGAACAGAGTGTGACCAGAGGATTCTGAGCAAGAGAGAGTCGTCAGGCATGGTGTACTCTCCAAATTATCCATTTCCGTATCTTCAGAATATTGTCTGCAAGTACTTCATATACGGAATGAAGGTAAGCACTTAGCGTTCAATAAAGGGATGTGAATTGAACACCAATTTTTGATATTCATATATCGATGGTCCATGCTAGCCGTTTTGACGACGGCCATCTGGCACACATTTGGTGTAGATTAGGTGCATATTTGGAACGGATTTGGTCAAATTAGGTTCACTGTAGCCGTTTTGATGACGGCCATCTGGCACACATTTCGTGTAGATAAGTTGCACATTTGGTGCAGATTTGGTCAAATTAGGTTCATTATGTTTCTTCAAAGTTATCAATTTGGGTTGCGCAAACGCTTATATGTCTCATTTTTCAAATAATCAGGCATCATTTTCGATTAAAACACTGAAATAAATTCAGGACATGAAGATATGCGTTATATTAGGTCGTTCAATAAGTAACGAACAATCGGTCATAACTTCTTTATTTCTTTATTTAACACTTTCAAACTTTCACAGATTATAGATCAAATGTTTCTGAATATAGCCTTTGCCTCAAACCAGTCGCCGCCCACCTGCACACACTTCTCCCAGCGTTCCGGCCAACGCCGGAATTCCGCCCGGAAAAACGCGTTTTCCGTCTTTTTCACCCAGTTCTTGACAGCGCACTTGACTTCAGCGTCGGTCTCGAAGTGTTCACCACGGAGGCCATCCTTCAGGGGCCAGAGATGAAAATCTGAAGGAGCCAGGTTCGGACTGTAGGGCGTCTGGGGCATGATATTCAGCCCTGTCTCGCGATCTCCTCGCGTGTGGCGTGAGACATATGCGGACGAGCGTTGTCATGGTGTCATCCTGGTGGGCTTTCTTGAACCTGGGCGGACTATGGACAGCGGGCCGCTACATCACAGTCCTGCAGGAGACTGAGAAAAGCAATACTGAAGAAGAGGCGCGGCTCGGATGTCAACAACATCACCATACACCGTGACAACGCCCGACCGCACTTGTCTCACGCCACGCGCGAGGAGATCGCGTGACAGGGCTGAATATTAAGCCCCAGCCGCCCTACAGTCCGGACCTGGCTCCTTCAGATTTTCACCTCTTTGGTCCCCTGAAGGATGGCCTCCATGGTGAACACTTCGAGACCGACGCTGAAGTCATGTGCGCTGTCATGAACTGGGTGAAAAAGACGGAAAACGCGTTTTTCCGGGCGGAATTCCGGCGTTGGCCGGAACGCTGGGAGAAGTGTGTGCAGGCGGGCGGCGGCTGGTTTGAGGCATAGGCTGCATTCAGAAATGTCTGATCTATAATCTGTGAAAGTTTGAAAGTGTTAAATAAAGAAATAAAGAAGTTATGACCGATTGTTCGTTACTTATTGAACGACCTAAGAGATTTAGTGCAGATTTGGTCAAATTAGGTGCATTCGCCAGATAGCCCGTGGTGAAAACAACTACTCTTATGCTATTTGGTATCCAAAACATGTTTTTAAGCAGGATTGCTTATTTCGTGATACTTGATTGTCGTTTTTGATGATTTAGCATATATTAATGATTATTGATTAACTCGATTAGCTTCATTAAACAAATGGGAAGTTTAGGTATAGGCTGCCGGGTCTCAGGATAGAGCCAGGGTCACTGGCTGCCATGCTGACCGGGTGACCTCCCCGGTCGTCAGGACTCTCAGAACCTGGAGCGGGTGCTGCTGATGTTCGACATGTTCGACGTCCCCGGAGAGGCGCTGCAGACAGGCACCACAATCGCCGAGTACGACTCCGACACCGACAAGGGGTAAGGACGCGCCGCGATAAGACAAGAGGTAAGGGTGCTGCGGTAAGACAAGGGGTAAGGGCGCTGCGGTAAGATAAGGGGTAAGGGCACCGCGGTAAGACAAGAAGTAAGAGCGCCGCGGTAAGACAAGGGGTAAGGGCACCGCGGTAAGACAAGGGGTAAGGACGCGCCGCGATAAGACAAGGGGTAAGGGTGCTGCGGTAAGACAAGGGGTAAGGACGCGCCGCAGTAAGACAAGGGGTAAGGGCACCGCGGTAAGACAAGGGGTCAGAGCGCTGCAGTAAGACAAGTGGTAAGGGCGCCGTGGTAAAACAAGAGGTAGTAAGACCACTGCGGCTAGACACGGGTTAAGACAGGGATAAGAACGCCGAGATAAACAAAATGAAATGAGATAAAACAAAATGAGATAAACAAATGCACATCAGAACAGGATGTCAGCCACTTTCTGAAAGTTTCATGATACTCTCACCTTACCCCACATCCCCTGCCACGTCCTTCTGCTGGCCAGTCTTGCTCACAGCTATAATAACGATCTAAAGGACCATCTCATTACGAAATACGAATACAACACACCCACGTGACTGTCCACATGCCGTCTTGGTCAGGTGCGACCGTGTACCTGACAGGTCAGGACACGAGCTCACCCCCTCGTCTTCCCCAGGTGTGACGGCGGCTACGTGCGCATCTATCTGCGCGGTCAGGACACGAGCTCACCCCCTCGTCTTCCTCAGGTGTGACGGCGGCTACGTGCGCATCTACCTGCGCGGTCAGTACACGAGCTCACCCCTCGTCTTCCCCAGGTGTGACGGCGGCTACGTGCGCATCTACCTGCGCGGTCAGGACACGAGCTCACCCCCTCGTCTTCCTCAGGTGCGACGGTGGCTACGTGCGCATCTACCTGCGCGGTCAGGACACGAGCTCACCCCCTCGTCTTCCCCAGGTGCGACGGTGGCTACGTGCGCATCTACCTGCGCGGTCAGGACACTAGCTCACCCCCTCGTCTTCCCCAGGTGTGACGGCGGCTACGTGCGCATCTATCTGCGCGGTCAGGACACGAGCTCACCCCCTCGTCTTCCTCAGGTGTGACGGCGGCTACGTGCGCATCTACCTGCGCGGTCAGTACACGAGCTCACCCCCTCGTCTTCCCCAGGTGTGACGGCGGCTACGTGCGCATCTACCTGCGCGGTCAGGACACGAGCTCACCCCCTCGTCTTCCCCAGGTGCGACGGCGGCTACGTGCGCATCTACCTGCGCGGTCAGGACACGAGCTCACCCCCTCGTCTTCCTCAGGTGTGACGGCGGCTACGTGCGCATCTACCTGCGCGGTCAGGACACGAGCTCACCCCCTCGTCTTCCTCAGGTGCGACGGCGGCTACGTGCGCATCTACCTGCGCGGTCAGGACACGAGCTCACCCCCTCGTCTTCCTCAGGTGTGACGGCGGCTACGTGCGCATCTACCTGCGCGGTCAGGACACGAGCTCACCCCCTCGTCTTCCTCAGGTGCGACGGCGGCTACGTGCGCATCTACCTGCGCGGTCAGGAGGTGAAGGAGGCGTTCGACAAGTTCGACCGTGAGCTGTGCGGCCGCCAGGTGCCCGAGTCGGTGCGCTCGAACGGCGCTCGGCTGACGCTGGTCTTCAGCAGCGGAGCCACGCAAGGCAGCGGCTTCAAGGCCAACTTCAAATTCGAGACAGGTGGGCTGCAGCTGATGACCGTTCTATCAAGTTGGCATGCGATGACTTTGACTAAAATCGGATTAATCAACTGTTGATGATGTTGAAAAGACACCTTGATTGAGGAATTTTTCTACCTTTACCGCCCGAAAAAGTACCAATTTAGCCACCCGAACCCGCCAACAGAGTACCTAAATATCTAACCACCTCTGCCTTCCGACAGAGTACCAATCTGACAACCTCTACCAGACGATAGAGTACCTTTCTAACCACCTCTACCTCCCGATAGGATACCAATCTGACAACCCCTACCTCCCGACAGAGTACCAATCTAACCACCTCTACCTCATCTCATCACATCTCATATATTTAACACATTCATTCGAAACAAACAATCAGTGTCGCCTCGATTGGCGCAAAAGTGCCGGAGCACTTAACTCGGGGCGCCGCACAATCACACTGGGTGCCGCCCACAGCCTCGCAGCCGCTGCCCGCCACCGCGCAGACCGCTCTCAATAGATGTAAAGGCGCCGGCGCCGAGGGCAGCGCTCTGTGACGACCGGTGTCAAAGGACTGGGCGTTAGTGATAGGTGGCAGGATGGGAAGGAGAGGCCTCCCGACAGAATACCAATCTGACCACCTCTACCTCCCGAAAGAGTTCTTTTCTAACCACCTCTACCTCCCGACAGAGTACCTTTCTAACCACCTCCACCTCCCGACAGGCTACCAATCTGACAACCCCTACCTGTCGACAGAATACCAATCTGACCACCTCTACCTCCCGACAGGGTACCAATCTGACCACCTCTACCTCCCGACAGGGTACCAATCTGACAACCCCTACCTGCCGTCAGAGTACCAATCTGACAACCCTACCTGCCGACAGAATACCAATCTGACCACATTTACCTCCCGACAGAGTACCAATCTGACCACCTCTACCTCCCGACGGAGTGCCAATCTGACCACCTCTACCTGCCGTCAGAGTACCTGATTCCGGGTACCGCCGCCCCCGACGGCAGCTGCCGGTTCACCTACAACTCAGCGGCCGGGAAGCGGGGCGACTTCAACTCACCTCGCCATCCGGCCAACTACCCTTCAGCCACCGCATGCGAGTACACGTTCGAAACGCAGCGTAACGAGCAGGTGCGCCTGGTCTTCGACAACTTTAAGGTGCGCGCCGAGAACATCAACGGTTCGGCGTACGGGTGAGTTCGGGACGGGGGAGCTCGCTGCCGAGATTGATATTCAGAGGCGGCTACTCGGCGCTCGCTGTTAGCACTGACACAGTTGGCCGCTACGTGCCCATTTCATTAGTAGTCGACCACTTCCCATCGACATTAATACATATGCAGGCTGATCCTCCCTGACCACTGCCCCAACTATCAGCACGGATATCTGCCCCCTGACCATAACAACCCTCTTTGCTCCTCGTGTCGACAAGCCTGATGTTGAGCGAGTAAAAAATAACAATGATAAAGAGCAATTAAAAATATATAAACCAAAAACAGTGGCTGTATCCGTCAACAAAAGTGATTCTCTTATCACAAGTAATTTCCGCCCTTAGTTACATGACCTTGCCTTGAGCTGATCTTCGATTCTCCTTCAAACAAACACCAAGTCATGGCACAATTTGATATGATCAGTCATTTAGCTGAGATAAAACTTACAAATTAAGAGTTATGTTTTGGCTGTGTAAACCGTTAGTCAGGTTATAACAAAAAGGAATAAAAAGGCCACCACCGTCTAATGTTTCACGAAAGCATGGATCAGCGCATGTGCTGATGTGCACATAGACGGTGGCCTTTTAACTAGAAGATCTTACCGTGAGACAAGACAGTCGGAGAACCTAGATCTGGTTGCTCCGCGAACAGATTTTATTAAATATTAATTTTCATATCATGGCTCTGAATTATGGAATAGTTTGCCCACTAGAATGAGGAATGCCTCAAAATGTGAATTGAAAAGTACCTCCTAGCAAAAGCAGACACTGACAACTGATGATCACGTTTCACCCAATGTGTGCGAATGTACTCGTATGTGCCCTGCAGTGTACCGTTAAACGTACCAACCATCACTGTTAACCGCATGAACAGACGTGTTGGAATTGGCCATTTTCCACTGTAACGCCCACTTTATGCTTGTGGTTAGTGGAATACACGATTTAATAATAACAATAATAATAATAATGTGGATGTTTTATTTTGTTTATTCTGCCCTTATTTTATTCAGTTTTGAATCACTTCGTGATAGCTAACATATATTCAAATGCGACATTCCAAAACGGCAATAACCATAATATTTGCACGGCCCAATTGCAACAACATAATCACTAATCATCCTCAGAGATGAAATATAATCCATAAAAGTGATCTTCTAACTTCCCTGAGGCAAAAGCCCAGACTTGGCACCAAGCAATCAGCGTCGCACCACCTTGAGCCAGGTGCTGCCCTTCTCCTGGGTCTGCGCAAGCCGAGGGTCCAGCACCGGCTCCATCTTCCCGGACTTTGGGCCCGTCACCAGCGAGTACTTCCTCAGCAGCGCCACCAGTGCCACCTTCGCCTGCAGCAGCGCGAACCGCATGCCGATGCAGTTGCGCGGTCCCTGACCGAACGGCAGGTAGGTGTACGAGTTGCGCATCTCTTTGCCTGTGGTCAGAACCGATCCGGGTTGAAGGACTCCGGGTTCGGGTAGAGATCTGCGTCGTGCTGCATGGCTAGAGGAAACATGTACACAATGCTGTTGGCTGGCAGAACTGCGTCCGTGCCAGGAATGGGGTAGTCGCGAGTCGAGCAGCGCGTCAGCTGCGCCAGGGGGTACATCCTCAGGGTCTCCGTCAGGACGCTCTCAAGGTACGGCATGCCGCTGTTGACTTTGTCGAAGGCGATGGAGTCGTCACTAGATGGCAGTGCTTCGTCTATCTCGGCTTGGACTCGTTCTTGCATTTCAGGATGGAATGCAAGCTGACGCGCAGCCCACGCCAGAACGTTTGAAGTGGTATCGCTTCCTGCAAAGAAGAACAAGACGCACTGAGCCGTGATTTCGTCGTCGGTGAGCTTGCGCGCCTGACTGTCATCCCGACGTGAGTCGATGAGCAGCTGAAGGTAGTCATTGCGACGACGTTCCGGGTGCTCCTCTCGTTCCTTGATAGTACGTTTAGAGATGTTCACGAAAAAGTCGATGGCCTCCTTGTTAACCACAATGCTTGTCGGATCAAGTCGTTTCTTGATGAAGGACGGCATTATGATATAACTCATAAGGGCAAACATGCTCAGAGGTGTCAGTGGACTCCTGAGCAATTGTGCCTTCTTGGCGATGGTCGACTCTGGATTGCGGATGGAATCGGCATCCAGACCAAACGCTACTGACGCTATAGTGTCCATGGTGAGTCTAGCAAACAATTCCTTCACATTTACCTCTCCGTCTTTCTGGGACTCCTTAAACATCTGATCTGCTAGAGTGTTGGAAAGCTCTTCTAAAATGACTGTCATGCCACGGATTTTCCCGGTAGAAAAGGATGGAGTGGATATGCTTCTCACATCTTTCCATTCCTGTCCAGTGAGGCTTGACATCATCTTCGAAAAAACGCTGCCCGAAACAGAACTGAAAAAGTCTGGACGCCGGAACGGGAACGTTTCAAAGTCCTTGACCAAATTTTTGATCAGCTCTGGATCACTCACCACTATTCCAGGGCCTCCCCAGTCGATGATACCCAAGCATCCTCCTGCCTTTTTCGCCTCTTCATATAGTTTTGCACAGCCCTCATAGAAAGGTGTTTTAAAGAACTCGAATCCGACATTTCCCATGGGGAAGCGGTACGGCTTGTTGGCGATACCCTTCCCCTTCCAGAAGTTCTTGTGGCGCGTCAGATAGCGGTAGATCAGCGTCAGGAGCAGCACCACGAGACCGATTGTCACCGGGCTGAACACCAGGGACGCCAGCCAGCCGAGCCAGCCGAGACACGCCGACAACATGACTGACAGACACTGTGATCAGGTCGCACGAGTTTTAGACAGGACGGTAAAACTATGCGTCCTCTCTAACCGATGCCGCGTAGAAGCGCAGGAAAGCACACAAACGTCGCCGCCGGCCGATGGTGACTTGATACGGTCATAGCGAAGAGAGAGAGAGAGAGCTCTTATACAGCCGTGCTAATCAGCAAGGTCGCCACCCGCCACACCTTCCCGTGGTCAGGGAATGATGCACTTTCTTGATAACAAGGTGCCCTATGTGCCCACCTTATCGATACGTCTGTTCGACGAGTCGGCGCTGCTGGATCATGTCATAAAATGTTACAACTTCTGCAATGTTAACATATTAAGTTTTCCGTAATATCGGCACCGGATATTGGTATATTTGAATAACTGTCAATTCTGGATTATATCAATATTACGCACGCTATACCTTAAGGTAGAAAGCTTGATGTCTTCTTTCGCAATGGGCGTTGTAAATGTGTGCTCTTTCGGGTGCGAACTTGATGGGAGTCCCAAAACCTGCGACTATTCATCACCGATTTCTTATTATTTCTTCAATAAGTGAAGTTTCCGTTTAGTTGCGAATGCGATAGCCAAACGAAGTTTAAGCACACACAGCTGATATTTCTAGCCAAAGTCAGGTCCCAGGCACCGCATCGTTGACGAAATGACCAACCGCCACCAATAAGAACGTCACTGACCTCTGACCACCGATAGGCCACAGCCTGCGCAGGGCTTCAGACAATACTCTGACGTCACCCAGCAGCCCCATCCACTGCTTTTGGCGCACTATGAAAGCTGCCGAGCAACAGCAAGTATTACCTTTGCACACACATTGTGGTAAATTTTGATTGGCAGTGAAACGTCGTGATAATTATGCAAAATAAAGAAGAAATAGAGCAGGTATGTAAGCATTCAGTGCTAAAACTTCGTTGCTGAAGTCATGCATTCAACATCTTTTTAAAGAAAACAAAATTTGAATGGCAGGCGAATTGCAATCTTGAGCATTACCTTATGTGACCTCATACCAATACACGTGTAGCAGCTTTTTCATGGTCAAAAATTCTAGAATAATATGTAGGTATATGGATTCAGGTAATAACATTCGCACCAATTTTGTTACACTTTAGTTATACATATACCACGTCAGCGAGTACACAGGTTTTGCATCTCCATCCCTCGAAGCCGGTGGTGGGGGCGGGGTGCGGTGACCTTGCCGATAGGCTCTGTGACTCATTGCTGCCGCCTCCCGCTGCGCATCGCACCGACTGGCCTCAGTGGACCACCAGAGGCCGGCTGGGACGGTGGTGCACGCTCCTGCCCGTCTACCGTGCCACCACGTCTGTGAGAGAGGAGACTTGGCTTCACGCCCTGCCCGCCGTGCGACCTGATCACGGTGTGTCAGCCATGTTGTCGACGGTTCTCGGCTGGGGGTGGCTGGCATCCCTGGTGTTCAGCCCGGTGACCATCGGTCTCGTGGTGCTGCTCCTGACGCTGGTATACCGTCATGTGACGCGCCACAAGAACTTCTGGAAGGGGAAGGGTATCGCCAATCTGCCGTATCGTTTCCCCATGGGAAACGCGGGATTCGACTTCTACAAAACACCGTTTTATCAGACAAACGCAAGGCTCTATGACGAATCAAAGAAGGCTGGAGGGTGTTTGGCCATGATCGACTGGATGGGCCCTGCTCTGGCAATCAGCGATCAAGAAATGATCAAGAATGTCATGGTTAAGGACTTTGAAACATTTTCAGTGAGGCAGCCAGCCTCTCTTAGTAACAGCGAGAGTGTCTTCTCGAAGATGATGACCAACATGAGGGGTCAGGAATGGAAAGATGTCCGAAAATATCCACTCCTACTTTTTCTACTGGGAAAATCCGCAGCATGACCCCTTTTGGAGGAGCTTTCAAACACCCTCGCAGACCAAATGTTCAAGGAGTCCCAGAAGGATGGAGAGATCAACGTCAAGGACGTGTTTGCGAGATACACCATGGACACAATAGCGTCGGTAGCGTTTGGTCTGGAAGCCGACTCCATCCGCAATCCGGAGTCAGCGATCGCGAAGAAAGGCGTGCTGCTGAGAAAACCTCCACCCATGTACAAGATCCTGATCTTCATGAGCGTTTCTTACCTGCCATCCTTTATAAGGAAGCGCTTCGATTTCACCTCTTATATATTTGGGAACAACGCCCTGGAGTTCTTTGTCGACATCTCAAGGAGAACTATCAAGGAGCGAGAGGAGCACCCCGAACGGCGCCGCAACGACTACCTTCAGCTGCTCATCGACTCACGTCGGGACGACAGTCAGGCGCGCAAGCTCACCGACGACGAAATCACGGCTCAGTGTCTTCTGTTCTTCTTCGCCGGGAACGACACCACATCAAACGCTCTGACGTGGGCAGCGCGTGAGCTCGCTTTTCACCCAGAGGTGCAGGAACGCGTCCAGGCTGAGATAGATGAGGTGCTGAAGTCCGACAAGGACTCCATCACCTTCGACAAAGTCAACAGCGGCATGCCGTACCTTGAGTGCGTCCTGACGGAGACCCTAAGGATGTATCCCCTGATGCAACTGACTCGATGCTCGACTCGCGACTACCCCATCCCTGGGACGGACGCAGTTCTGCCAGCAAACAGCATTGTGTACATGATGCCGTACTCTATGCAGCACGACGCAGATCTCTACCCGAACCCGGAGTCCTTCGATCCGGAGAGGTTCCTGTCTAACAACAAGGAGGCACGGAACTCGTACACCTACCTGCCGTTCGGTCAGGGACCGCGCAACTGCATCGGCATGCGGTTCGCGCTGCTGCAGGCGAAGGTGGCACTGGTGGCGCTGCTGAGGAAGTACTCGCTGGTCACGGGTCCCAAGTCCGGAGAGATGGAGCCGGTCCTGGATCCCGGGTTCACGCAAACCCAGGAAAAGGGTGGAACCTGGCTCAAAGTTGTCAGGCGTTAATCGGTCTGCGCTGCACTGTTCTGCATGCTTTCAGTGGCTAGGTCGCCCGAAGTTAGTTCTTTAGGTAATCTGATTTTCTTTAGATATTGTTGTGGCTTGACGCCATACAAATATGTTATACTTTCTCCTACGCGAGAAAACATGACTTTAGCGGCTACAAATGATGGGTCTTAAGTGATACCAATGATGCTGAGCCGGTTATCTTGTTGTAGGTGATGTCGCCATCTAATTAATCTGTTGCAATGTTTGAGGAAATATAATAAAGGAAATGAGGGAGACCATACAGCCACAGACAACTATCAGCCACAGCCCCCAGACTCCAGACGTGTGGCTGACAGCGACTCGGATGTGCGGCAGACGTTCGATTGTCAGGGTGAAACTTAACCCTAGTCCATAGTGGTGTTTTGACAGCGTCTAACGTATATGGGGGGGGACGTCCATTGGACCCCCTTGCCGTTCGGCCCCTGATCGAGCTAATGCTTCGTAGAGAAAAACGAGCGTGCTGCCCTCGACGAGAGGAAGCCGGAGATACCCAAGTTTAAGGTCCTAGTTCATTTTTTGACCTTCCAGGTCAGGTATAGGACCCAAAGTCGAGAAAATCGGGACCTGCTAGAACTTTGCAAAGTGAAGTTGTAATAGGGCTTTTTGGGGTTTCGATCACGAATTTCATGTTAGACTTGACGACAGATGATGTCTTCATGCATTTAGGCCTTGTCGGGTCGGGTCAGTCAACCAGTAGGCGTCCTGTCAGCTATCCATAGTATCAATCAACCACCACTGACAGCTTCGTAACATGCTACGAATGCACCACTACGTCGTTAATGTTCAAATGATTTCTAAATTCGAAATCAGCTCCAAAATCTATCTCAAAATAATGTAGCACTCGAAAAGTGAACCACGGTCTTTGAATATCATTAACCTGATTTGACCTTCAGGTGACCTTGACACCCACTAGGGGAGAGTGGGGTAAGATGCCCAGGGTGGGAAAGACGCCCCACCCCCTCTAGCGGGAAACAAAGAATCGAACCTGGAAATTAATGTTCTTAGCGTAAAGCGGAAGCCTGCCTTTTAACTGCTCAAAAATTTGCGAAGCTCAGTTGGGCAACGGCTGGCTGGTGATTGCATGTTTTTTATTTGCTGCTTTCAAAAATATTTTGGCGTCAAAACATTGTAAATATCAAAGAAGGTAGATAATTTTTGCGTCCCTTGCTATAGTCGTGATACATTAACATGCGTGTACTGTGTCCCAAACAGTTTGTTTCAGATTGTAGTTTTATGGCTAACAAATTGTGCTGATTTAATGTTACTTCGGTACCTTGGGGTAAGATGCCCCCTGTCCTGATGGGGAAAGACGCCCCCCTAAATCCGTAGGCTGTCCTTCAAGCAACCCGTCAAATCATTTATTACATAATTGTGATGAGAGACAAAAGCCGATCTGGGACTATTGAGAGTCCGGTACGGTCGGGTGCTCCCCATGCCGGTCTCTCGGCCCACACAGCGACTTTTTGGGCGGCATCTGACTCTGAGAGCCCTCACGACGGCCTCTGTGGGCCCCATTATTGGTTCCAGGGCCCCTCACGACATCCTTTGAGGGCTCCCACGTTGGCTCCACGGGCCGCGCTGGCATCCGAGGTCCCCACGATGGGCTCGAGAGCCCTCAAGCATCATGAAGACCTATAAGGGCCCCACAGTGGTCTCCAAACGCCACCACGGAGGCTTGTTTGGCCACGCTGGACTACGATGGCCCTAACGATGACCTCTGAAGCCCCTTACGACTACTTTTGAGGGCCCTTACGATGACGTTTGGTGTCTACTGCAGGCTCGAAGGGACTACTGATTCGTTCAGGCGATTCACGTGCCTATTTATGTCACTTTTAGTGCAGGGGGCATCTTACCCAACGCCAGGGGGCGTCTTTTCCACCCTGTGGGGTAAGATGCCCCCTTTCACTTCTTCAGGAAAATGCTTAATAGCAAAAAAAGTTATCATATTTTAGGCACGAAAGTCTGATATTTTTGGAGAAAATGATGTCGGCTTCCGTTGAAACTCCAAGTTTTGGCTTTCCAATCATCATTTTCGAATAATATATGACATAGTCAAACCCTGGGCATCTTTCCCCACTCTCCCCTATAATGCATGAGATTGATGAGATCAACATCATTTCACATGGTTGAAAGTTTAAAACCACAAAAAGAAATGAAACGCGCGCATAATGTGAGCCGACACACGCCGAATCGCGATTCCGGCCAAACATGGTATCGAGAAACAGGTCACAGGTCAAACGCCATTTGGCTCAGGGTCATGAAATTTTTCAGGGTAGGTGTAAAATTGATCAGCTCAGGGTACTATAAGCTTCGTCACGATCGGCCGATTTTTGCGCGAGTTAATCGCGAAAAAACCGGAAGGGTTTAACCCCCTATCAGTGCAAAGGTTAGCAGGCATATTCTTGGGGAACCTCTCAATATTTCCCAAGGCCCCACAGATGATAAGCTGGCTACCAATGTCCTACAAATGGCGGCGTGTGCTGTCGAACTCACCTCACCTGGGCATCGGGTGCAGCAGCAATAAACGCTACCGCTCCATCCAAACCCAGGGTGCTCCTTCAGAGCTCTCGGCGCCCGGTACTGAAGACCACAATAGGGCTGGGACCTGATCAACCACGCCGATATCCTTGGCACCAAAAATAGCCATTCCGATTTGACCTATAGCGCATCCTCACATACACCAATATTTTTTCTTCTTAGATCATAAATTTCTCTAGACGATCATAGGTGTCTCAATATCCTTCAGGGCTTATGACCTGTAGGACGCCTCAAGTCATCAACTAGTCAATAGCATCATAACGTATACAGTCATAGTCATATACTATCATACTGAAGTCATCCTAGTGTGGTTAAGGTTTCCAGATGATTCTATACTTAGGGTAATAGTGTCCACACAGGATTTTGGGACATCCTCAGTCTCTGAAAAGCTTCACGACGCCCAGGACACAATAGACTCGACAAAGTCTGCTGGACGCCCTAGACTCCTGAAATCGCACAGCTCAGAAGCTGCAAGACGCCACGCCTCAAACTACAATTTTAGGAGCCGCAGAACTGCGCAGCAGGATCCGATAGATACATTTATTTAGTTATTTATTGATTAGATATTTGCGATTAGCCCGCCCCTCTCTGGGTTATTTAGTCGATCGCGTCCTGCTGAAAGGGAGGGGGTGGGCAGCTTATGCCTCATCCTTTGTCCGCCCTACATCTGCTGGCCTTCCTGGTACTGCTGCGCCGCCCTATCGCGACCTCTCCTTACCCGGTACAGCGCTCTCCTGTCCTCCGTTACCCACCCCTTCAGAGGTGGCTCCTAGAACACTTCAGTAGAAGTACGACGTGACTCATCAGACCAGCAGACCTGTACCCTCATGTCGACTGTAGAGATGCAGGGTCAGGCGGGGGGCGTAGGCATTACTTCCTCAGTATTTTTTACGCTTTTGGTCAAAAAATCTTTCTTTACAGAATGTATGTTCATTGTTTTGAACACATTAGCGGGACGCCGCCCATTCGATATTGTTTCAAGTTTCAACACATGTATGAAGATGACCAGACGTAGGTATTCCCAAAAGCAGCCAGCCTCAACCCAGTCAGGTCATTTGCAAATGATCTGAATTCTCAAGGTGCTTTGAACATAAGCAGCTAGTTATGGCAGACCCAGCCTATGCATAGTTAAATATTAGCACTTTGCATATACTCATGCAAAGGATATCAATCCCGAGCCCCATTGCATGTGAGAAGATAAACGTCTGTTTTTACTGCGATATAACACTGCATAGATGCATAGGTACACAATCAATTAACTTCGCTGTTCAAGAAGCAACCAAGTACGAAGTTGGTATATAGTGGGTAATCTCTAAAATAGCCCTCTCCTCCCCACCCGGCACCCGCCCCCGATGGTTTATCGCAGGTGACCGTCTGTTAGAGCCGGCTGTTGCTGATAGGACCGGGACCGGCGGGCTCTCAGGCCGACGCGGACAGGCGGCCCGGGACGCCGCTGACTAGTGACCTTGCCGATAGGCTCGATGACGAAGCGCGCCAGCGGCGGCGGTATGTAAGCGCCCCGAGTAGCGGCGGTGACAACAGTGGGCGGCCAGCGCTCGGCGGAGACGGTAGTCTGTGCTAAGACGGACCGTGTGTCGGAAAAGACGTGCTTCGCCTTCTGTGTAACCATACCACGGTGTGTCAGCCATGTTGTCGGCGTGTCTCGGCTGGCTCGGCTGGCTGGCATCCCTGGTGTTCAGCCCGGTGACCATCGGTCTCGTGGTGCTGCTCCTGACGCTGACATACCGCTATCTGACGCGCCACAAGAACTTCTGGAAGGGGAAGGGTATCGCCAATCTGCCGTATCGATTCCCCATGGGAAACGCCGGATTCGAGTTCTTCAAAACGTCGTTCGATGAAAGCTCGGCTGAATTGTACAGAGAGACCAAGAAGGCTGGAGGATGTATGGGCATGATTGACTGGATGGGCCCTGCACTAGCAATCAGTGACAAAGACATGATCAAGAATGTTCTGGTCAAGGACTTTGAATCATTTTCCTTGAGACAGCCGGAATCATTCAACGCAGTCCAAGGGAACGTTATGTCGAAGATGCTGTCAAATCTGACGGGGCAAGAGTGGAAAGATGTCAGGAATATATCCACTCCTACCTTCTCGACAGGTAAAATCCGCGGCATGACAACCATTCTGGAAGACCTTTCTAACACCCTCGCAGACCAGATGTTCAAGGAGTCCCAGAAAGATGGAGAGATCAATGTCAAGGACGTGTTTTCTAGATTCACCATGGACACAATAGCGTCGGTAGCATTCGGTTTGGAAGCCGACTCCATCCGCAATCCGGAGTCAGCGATCGCCAAGAAGGCAGAAATGTTGAGAAAACCACCGTCAGCCTTCAATCTGTTTGTCTTCCTGGCTCTCTCCTCAATGCCGGAGTTCGTCAAAGAGCATTTCGACATGACCTCGTATGTCATCGACAAAGAGAGCCACGACTTTTTCGTCAACATCTCGAGACGTTCTATCAAGGAACGAG